AAGACAAACCTCCTACAATCACAACCAGATTAAACTTTGATTTTTGTGGGTCATTGCTGTCGTAACATTCATATTCCAGAAAACATCCATTAGATGCCTCAATGACCTGCTAGTTTCCTGTAATTGAGACAAGTTGTAAAGTGATGAATAAGCGTAAAATGTACCTGTACTTTGTTTCATCATTTGAAGTTTTGTAACAGACTCTTTTGGGTGGTGGGACTTTTTGATGCCAGAGAGAGAGTTGAAAACAAATCATGACGGACTCAAAGTTTTATCAGATCCCAAACTAAAAGTGGAATCAACAGAAACCACAGTGAACCAGTGAACACAGCCTGTTTGAATCTTCAGTTTAAAACTAACTATGACAAACTAACTATGATAGGACTTTAGACTACGTGCTCACTGACACCAACAGTTAATAATCAAAACTAAAAGTCAAATATTTTTAGACAAAATTTCAGAAAAAAAAAGACACTAGAAACAACTGCATAATTCCAGTAAATGTTCAGCTACAACAGTTTCCGTCAGTTTTAATCAGTAGCACCGATCAATGAGGAAGATAATCCAGCATGTTACATTTTAATAGCTCATTGATTTGATAAACATCAACAAAATAAACATTGGTGTCCACTCAGAACATGTTTCCTCCTTCAGAGTCTCAGTCAGAAACACTGAACAATCATCAACAGTGGAGAAAACCAAGAGTCTTCTCCACCAGATTCCTGCTCTGAAGGAAACATCTTAACTCTTCATCGTGGGCAGCGAGAGCAAACTCTTTAGAAACACATTTCTCAAGTCAACAACTATAGAAATGATCCCTGAAAGTATAGTCTTGGTTTGTTCCGGATGTTTCTCTGAGTCTTGTATTTGGGGATTAGCCTCTTTTCTCCTGGTGAATCATCCTCACACTCAGAGGACAAACCTCCTCTAATCACAGCATCTTAACTGACTAAAGAAACTGCACTTTACACAACAAAGTCTCTCTATTATAAAACGACATGTGTACATGTTTCCACTTGTTGTACCTGTGGTAACTGTGAAGTTCCTGTTTCCCCTGACATCTGCTTTCTAAGGCCACTGGTGCTGATGCAAGTTTGAGCGTGTGGTGTTCTAATACTTTCACTTTTCATTTGGCTCACTTATTTTGCATCTGGTGTTGTGCAAACAGTTATTGTGAAAATAAGGAAAGAAAAGCAGTCAGAAAATATTAAAACACAAGCACACTTCCTCTTCAGTGAACAGAGATATGGAAACAGCTTCTTGGTTTTAATAAATACATATTTAAGTGTGCTTCCACTGTTCTGGAGCTTTTGTTTCTATTCCATCATCTTCATCAGCAAATCTTTGCATTTGAAAGAAGTTCGTTTGTATAAATAATGACATTTTTTAAATCACTTTAAGGTGCTTCTTGTTTTTTTGCCACAAAAAGTGACGGTAAAAAAGAAAAGGTTGGGAAATATGAATATTCAAAATAGTTCCATTACACGTCAAACTCCATCATGTGATACGACCTAGAGCTGGCGAAGAAGAACTTTGTTTAGAGTTTTGAAAAAGTGAAGTCTGAATGGAGAAATATCACCAATTGTAAAAATGTGAGCAACAGCATCTTCATTCCAGGCAAACAAAAAACTTCCACTCATTCTCAGAAAGAAAAATCAATGAATGTTTGCAAACTAGAAAGAAATGTAATATCTTTTAATATCAGGGCTGTAAAATGATCACAAGGCCCCAGCAGCACAATCCACAAAGATCAGACTTTCAGTTTTTAGATGCATAACAACTCCTGACAACTTTCAATCACATGTTTATGTCTGGACTTAGTGCAGCAGTGGTAAGAACTGTTTCCTCAAAGACAGAAGGTGATTTACCATCTAGTATTATTATTTAAATTGGCAGTTAAAGGTCCAGTGTGTAAGATTTAGGTGAAAGGGAACTATCGGCAAAATGTAATGTCAAATAATCCTCATGATGTTTTCACAAGTTCGTATTATCTAAACTGTATGAAGTGCAGTTTTCTTTACTCCAGAAAAGGCCCTTTATATTTAAATACTTTATATTTACATGGAGGGGACCCTCTCTGCGGAGGCCGCCATGTTTTTTACATTAGTCCAGACTGGACAAACTAAAAACCTTTGGAGTTTTTACGACAACTGAATCTGTTCAGCTGCAACATGACACTTCAACACTAGACATCACTAAATTCTACACACTGTACCTTTAATCAGATTTGGAAAATCAATGAATTATCAATGGATTTGTCCTCATGAACAAGGTGAAGTTACATGATTTGTGTATTTGCCTCTCACATAAAACCTGACCCGCAGTGTGAGAAGCCACGCGAAACTTTTTTCATGATTTCTATTCTCTCAGAGGAAGTGTGCAGGTGCATGATCAGAAACCAGAGCATGAGCTTGGTATTTAACCAACATCCTGACTTCAAATGTTAATTGTGTTCCCTCAGATAACGTTTCAGTGTTCGGCCGACTTGCTGCAGAGACACATGAATATTTCTCACCTGTGAGTGTTGCTGCCTTCAGGAACCATGTGTCGGATGTTTTGCAGTCGTTTCCGGAGAAGATCCTACAAAGTGTCAACACAGCATCACACAGGTAACACCAGTTATTAATGGGCTGTAGGGGTGTAAGAACAATCGATCGCACAGCTGACGGACTGAAGTTAGTTACTTTTACTATTGGATCGCATATCCTGCATTTAGTATGATGCATTATATACTGAACAACCTTATAAAGCACAAGAATACAATTTGTATAATACACAAACATATATATTTGTAAAAAAAGGATGTAACCAAAATCTATTTTATTTATTTGGCTCCTAATCCTAATCCTAATCTGCAACAAACTTGATCACAGTTTATATTCTGAGCTGAAAGTCTCGCTGTTAAATTATGTTTTAGAGTTGAATATCAAAACCCAACACAAAGTCACAGTGTTTTCATTCGCTGGTAACAAGAGAATTCATATAATCTCACACGTCCAGACCAGACCAGTGCTGCGAGTGGCTAAATATAACTATGGGTGGATAATTGTGCTGCAAGATTGATTGTTATGAATCAAATACATTATCTGATATTAACATCATTTCTTCAAGTTAATATCAACACCAAGAAGTGTTGATGATGTGTTAATTGTTTAAAACTAAACAATTCATCTGCTGAAAAAACATGGAGAGTTAATGAGCTGTACAGACATGAACTACACTTCTCTTAACCGGGAAACCTGTAAAAACAAATCTCTGGCAGGAAGGTGGGCATTGTGTTATGAGGCATCCTGTCATAAATTGCTATTCGACAAGTGGAACCTAAGGATTCCTCTCCAGGCACCATGAATGTCTGGAAGTGAATTTCAAGGCACTTTCCATTCAACCAGTTACCTCAGTTGGGAACTTCCGCAGAGCTGGTGTGTCTAAAAAAAAAGCCCATCTCTGTGTCTGTGTCTGTGTGTGTGTGTGTGTGTGTGTGTGTGTATGTGTGTGTGTGTGTGGGTGGGGGGTGGGGGGGGTGTCCTCATGAGCAGGAGGAGCTTATGCTGGCCATTATAATTCTGTGCAGCTGTAATGCAACTAACAGAACAACCACAGCGACAGAGAGAACAGGGTGAGCTCAGACGAGAACATTTTATCAGCATGTGTCGACGTTTGTCGGATGAATATGTGTGTTTCTGTCACATTCTATTTGTAGGGACTGTGTGAGGTTTCATTTTAAACTGCTCACGTTAACTCGTCTGATTTTAATAGTGATTTGCATGATGTTTCATTTTGTTTTGTTTGACGTCCAATTGTGCTGTGCTGTTTTATGTACTTCTACCTTGTACTGTGTAGTATTTATGGGATACTGAGATTGTTTCTCAGTTTATTCATTCTTTTCATTTCTACTTTCGGCTTTTGATCATTTGGCTTTTTTATGATTTGCCTTTTCGTTTCTACTCGGTGGTTCACCGTGATGAGGACGTTGTGTTATAGTTCAATGAAATGTGTATTTTTAATTATATTTTATAATTCCTCTTCTAAATGTTTTTGTCTAACTTAGATAAAATTAACTGTGATTCATTTTATCTTTGTGGGGGACAATATCCAAATTTTGTTGGAGTTTTATTTTGAAAGTCTTACAGAAAGTTGTATTAGCAATTAGAATTCATTAGCTAACTAGCTAACATTAGATTTGATGGTTTCTTTTTATTAAAAGCATTAAAAAATATATTGTTAGGGTCATTTTAAAATGCAATTAATGAGATGATTCAAACATAAATGTAGGAAAGCAACAACAAATCCATTGTTGTGGAAAAATCTAATCAATTTAAAATATTCTACCTTGCTAATGCAGTGAGCTAGTGCTAATTAGCTCAGATGCTAACACTGAAGTGACCTGTTTTTCACTCACTTTGTTTTTATCGACAAACATGAACTGTTGTTTCTTTTCGTCTCCACCGATTCGTTGGTTTCTCTCCAGGCTGCTGCTCCAGTTTACTCGCTGGAATCAGGATGCGAACCCGGTCGAGCTCCACTCAGTCGGAGGGCAGCTTCCTCCCCGGCCCCAGCGGGAGGTCCGCAGGAGAGGCGGCAGCAGGAGGAGCGGGAGCAGGAGGAGCAGGAGGAGGCTGGTTGAACGGGAGGTTCCAGAAGCTGTTCCGACGCCCCGGAGCTCAGGACAGCGGCAACACAACCGGCAAAATCACCTCCTCCACCACCTCCTCCTCCTCCGCAGTCACCGACGGGCCCCTCCAGCCCAGCCGCCCCGAGGAGCCTCCGACAGCAGGTACAGCAGCCGATGACGTGTCTGAATGAGACTCATCGTTTCTAATACAACTTTACATTCTTCAGGAGACGTTTATATTCTAGTGTTTATTTATACACCAGATATACATTGATGACATCAGATAAACATTGATGACACCAGACATACATTGATGACATCAGACATACATTGATGACATCAGACAAACATTGATGACATCAGACATACATTGATGACACCAGACATACATTGATGACATCAGACATACATTGATGACATCAGATAAACATTGATGACACCAGATAAACATTGATGACATACACCGCATAATGCGGTGAGCGCGTATTTGCGCGTATTGCGGTGATGGGCGTATTGCGTCACTTCCGGTGTCCGTGTATTGAGCTCCGTGTGTTGACCTCCTCTCTGTTCTGCTGCTGTCTGTCTCACTGAAGCTAACTTTGAGTCACATTCACAGGTGTACAGTTCCCTACACACACACACACACACACACACACACACACAACCTCTCTTAGCGACTCGTTCGCTAAATCACTGGGATTTACACACTACCCGTGTTAGCTTGCACCTCAGCATTAGCAGCTAACAATGACTTCTCACTCTCCCCTGCTCTCCCCTGCTCCCTCCTGCTCTCCCCTGCTCCCTCCTGCTCCTTCCTGCTCCCTCCTGCTCTCTCCTGCTCGGTGTTCAGTTACTCCTCTGCCTCCTTTAGCGATACAGGTACATGTGTTAAATGTAACCCTATTTGCCAGGATGGAGGCGAGGATCAGCCATTTTGAGTCGCGGCTCTGCACCACGGAGATTAGATCTTCAGCTGATGTAGTGAGCCAAGCAGCTGTAGCTTCTCCACCCCCCTCCCCCCCATCAGCTCCCGAGCAGCCGGGAAGACAGGTCGGCTGGTGACTGTGCGAAACAAGAAGCGCAGCCCTAAACCGAAGCTCCAGGTTCACCACCAACCCGCTCACGTGTCTAATAAATGTTCCCCGCTGAGCAGCAAACTCTGGTTATCGGCGACTCTATTCTGAGAAACGTGAAGTTAGCGACAGCAGCGTCCACGGGTAGATGTTTTCCCGGGGCCAGAGCCGGAGACGTAGAGTCCTATTTAAAAACTGCTGACTCAGGGTAAGCGTTAGTGCAGTAAGATTGTTATTCACGAAATATTCAGAAATCAATATTGATGCGGTGTGTACGTGTGCAAAGACAATGACTCAGCGATGACACCAGCCTCACGTCATCCTTCCACCGCTGGCTGAGGAGGTGGTGTCCAGATCACAACGTGGAGCTTCGAAGAGAACTGAAGACTGTTTTCATCCCACTTGGGATGGAGCAGCTGTCATATCTAGAAACATGACAAGGCTTGTTACACAGTCCACACCGAGACAATCCAGAGCTGAGACCAGGAGGCAGAGTCTCAGTCTTACAGCTTCTCTGAGCTTCTATTCGAACACTCACCCTCACAATATATCTCACAACATCCTATAGAAAACTGGGTCTGCCCCCCGACCACCTCAACTCACTCAATCAAAAGCAAACAGGACAGGAGTAATATATTCAAACCTAATAAAAGTTAACACAATACACAATACACCGGTGGCAAAACACTGAATTATAAAATGCGGTTTATTTAATATCAGGTCGCTCAATCGAAAATCACTACTTATTAATGGCCTGATTACCGATCATCACATCGATCTATTGTGTTTAACAGAAACCTGGCTGCAAGATGGAGAATATGTAGACACTGAGCCTGGTTCTAGAGGTTTCTCCCTGTTAATGAGGGAGTTTCTCCTCCACAGTCACTTGCTCATTGTGGGAACTGTTGGGTTTCTTTATATTTTGATTTTAAGGTCCTGACCTTCTATGTAAAGTGCCTCGAGATAATGTATATTATGATTTGGCGCTATACAAATAAAATTGAATTGAATTGAATTCTACAAAGTTACGTTAAACAGTGTTTCTTTGGGGTCTAAAGTTTAATCATCCGTATTTAAAGCCTTAAAAACTCTTGAATATGTTGAAACGCCACAAAAGTTCTTAAATATGTTTAATACGATCTTACGAGCTACTTCTGCAATTTGTTTGAAATGTTTTGGTGGCATGCATTGTGTGTGAAGTCTGTAATATTAATATAATATTTGTTTTTTAAATCACCATATATGCTTTAGTTTTAAATGTTATATTCGTTATTTGAGGCATTTACATGGTTTCCATTTAAAAAATAATCAATTTTAGGCCTTTAAATGTAAAAACACATACAATATTATGTAATACTAGGTTTTATATTCATTTAGGTTCAAGATCACAACTCAACACCGTCTATAATTAGTTCTCTGAGTGGGTGACACAGAAGTTGATAAAGCGACCTCCTGAACAACCTGACAAGGGTTTCAAACATTCATTTATTAATTCATTCAACCTTTGTACATGAAAAAGTTGTTTGGGTTTAGACAATTCATTTTCATCTTAATCTCTGACATGGCGGCCTCGTCTTTGTTTTTCTCTCCCAGTGAACTTCACATTTGAGGAAAACCTTCAACGAAGCCACTTCTCGGAGGCCAGCCAGCAGCTGATAGAGAGAGAGGAGCGTCTGTTCAGTGAGATCCCCGAGGCCGGGGAGCTTGTACGTCACAACGAAGAGGTGAACAGTCTCTCTGCTGCTTACAAAGCCCTGGAACACCTCATCCTGCAGACTATACAGCAGAGTTTGTCTCTCAGCACGGGAGAAGTCAGCACCGAGGCTCTGACGTCCGCTGTGAAGGCCGTTTACCAGGAGGAGAAGCAGGACCTACTGTGGCAGGACAGGGATCAGACGCCGCCTGGCTGGAGGCCCAGGGGCTGGAAGGAGCTCCATGACATAACTGTTTGCAGCTTGATAACGAATCATATAAACAATCCCTCGACTCCTCCTGCCAACCAGGAACATCAGTCGTCAGTGGAGGCTGACCTCTGCAGCATGGGCAGGCAGATGGTGGCCGACATGCAGTTGGTGGTCAGCAAGGTGAAGTACTGCTACCCAACAGATGTGAACATCTGCGACTTCTACGCCAGGAAGTTCCACCAAACCCTCAGTGCCCGAGTCAGACAGATCGCAGACTTTGGTCTGGAGGAAAAGGACTGTACTTTCGTCCTGCGCTGGGTGAACGAATACTATCTAGAGTGAGTCATGAATTAAATTCATGTTGAAGTGGTTATCACATTGAGGATGCAGTTATCTTTGAGGTTTTTCTACTTTTACCAAAGTAGAAGATCTGAATCTGAATACCTAATACATATTCAAGATCAACACTTTGAAACCAAAGCGTTGACTTCATGAAATGGCTCCACACTTTTGGTAAAGTTGTGATTTCTTGTCCTCTGTCAGACTCCTACAGAAGCCATGGCTGGTCGGTGAGATCAGTTCTGAGCCGCTGGGAAAGCTGCTGCCCGAGGAGTTACTGAAGCCTCTGGAGGAACAATACCTGAGCAGCAAACAGGTAACAGGAGCTTCATTCGATTTTAGTTTAATAGTTTTACAAAATATTTTTATGTTTAAAGACTATGTTGCTTGTTGTTTTGTTTTCAGAGTGAACTGATGACGTACATCTGCCGCATTCTGGAGATCGAGAAGCAAAAGTGGGAAAACAGAGAGGAGCCGATGAAAGAGGACGGCTGCTACGACAGTCCGGTGGCCTACGACATCATTCAGGTAAATTATCGATACGACAACGTGATGTTAAAATGACCATAATCAACATTTTTACAATCCCAAAGATGTGAAAACAATGTGAGAATGTACCAGATGGTTGTGGAGGAAAAAATAAAATAATACATTAAAATTAAAAATGACATATTTGAGTTCAGAGAAGATTGAGGCTGCGTAAAGTGCTTTGAATCCTAAATCGCTGCAGTTGAAAAGAATTGTGAAATTAAAAAGTGAGAAATGTTGTATGACTTGTTTTCTCTCTTTGCTTTACAGTAAACTTTGAACTCTGTTATTAACTTGTGTTCTCCCTCCGTCTGTAGTTCATCAACGGGATGGTGACTTCAGCTGAAAAAGTGGTGGGAGACCTGCAAAAGGCCCGGAGCATGACATGTAAACTGGATGAGTTGATGCAGAGGTAACGTTTGAAAAAACACATTTCTTTTACACTTTATGTGACAAAACAACTGTGGAGGTGAAAATCAACTGTTCTCATTCGAACAAACTCCCGCAGGTTCAAGTCCTTCCAAGACGAAGTCGTGAAGCAGAACAAAAGCAACAGTAAAGCCATCGTCAAGGCGCACCTCGGCTCTGTGGAACAGTTCAGGTACGTTTCTGATGTTCAGCCGATCAAATCCAGTTCTGATCGATGGAACATCTGCGTGTTTCAGCGTGAGCTGACGTAGCTTCTGTGTTTTATCTGCAGGGATGTTCTCGAAAAGAACGCTGACCTGTTCCAAGAGGATGCGCGAAGAAACTGTCTGCGTGTTCTGACCGACATGAAAGAATCTGCACACGTGTATTTATTGAGCCCCGTGCACAAAGCCCTCAAGGTGAGTTTATTTACAACACACTTAATATATTTCATTTACTAAATGCACTCTTTTTGCACAACGAATTATTTTTCATGACATTATTTTCAAGCACATCTTAAGTTTAGTTTTATTTCTGATTCAAAGCTTCTCACAATAGAACCATTTTGCATAAAGCAACAGATGCAAGAATGAAAAATGTACTTCAGAGCCCTAACCCAGTTTACATATTTGAATCTGCCACTTTTACTCTTCTCTGCTTTGGATTAAAGCGTTAACTGGTCATTGCGTCATGCTTCTTCTTCTTCTTCACGCAGCCACATTACAAAAAACTGGGAACCAACGATTGGCTGAAAAAGCCTGTGTTTGAGCAGCTGCTGGTCGGCATCCAGACACAGAGTGAAGAACTTCAGGGTTCTAAAGAATCCTGTCACCAGGTACCGAGCGAAGCATCAAACACACTCTTCATTTCAGAATTAAACAATAAAGAATTAGAAATATTTTGATAAGCATGTGGCTATCTTTAACTGCAATTAATAAAGTGTGTTTTTAAATGTTTTACTTTTAATCCCAGGAGCTGATGTGCCAGTTGCATCTGGAGGTGACAGTGGAATATGTAAGGAAGCTCCTGAAGGGAGAAGTAAAGCTAAAGGACCGGAGCGAGCAGAACTATGCCTGCACGACGGTGAAAGACAACGCAGAGACTTTGCACAGGTTGTTCGTCGAACTGGTGAGACTTCCTCCTCAGTGCTCCTGAAATGTGGAGAGATCAGTGTTTTCGTTTCGAGGAGATTCTCTCCAGCGTCGGCCCTTATCACCAAAAACTCTCAAATCTCCTCATCGTTCCAAGTTGGCGTCTTCGTCTTGTGTCTTCTACATGTGTGTGTGTTTTGCTTTTGTTTTCAGACAAACAAATATAATTATCTAGTTTCCCGGCAGAACCATGACATATTAGAGATATTTGTATATACTCTCAAGTGAGCTCACTCTGACTCCCTCTGGTCATCTTTCTAAAGGCCTGTGGAACATGTGCGGAGGAACTCAACTCAGAGTCCACGGAGAACAGATCGTGAAAATATTTGTGAAAGAAGTTGAGAGGTCTTCGGTTAAATTCCTCATGAGCAAAATCTCTTTTAGAAATGAATATCTGTAAAATACTTCACATCAGACAGAAACGTTTGGAGACGAATCCCCCAACATGAAAACAACTGTCTATAATAAAGTCTTTAATATGAAGAATGTGAAATACTGGAAAACACCGATCAGGCTCTGTCCCTCCAGCGTTTTATCACCCCCCCCCCCTCTGATTTCACTGGACTGAGCAGAGTGTGATGAATCAGGGAAACTCCACAGTGGGACTCTCCTCCACTGTGACTTCTCGGGATTCAAATCCTCCCTCACAGTGGGGGTGTGGATCGGTGTTTCAGGAAACGAGCGCTGAACTAATGTAAGTGCTCCGTCTTTGCAGGGGTCAAAGGAAGACTGGCTGAAGGAAATCCTCGTGACGATCGCAGAAGTGCTGAAACTCCAGGAGCTTCCCTCCATACAGATGCAGGTAGCATCGCTGGGAAGTGCTTTTCCTGACCTGAGGTAACATTTCCCACAGTCACGCAGCAAAAATATACAGTATGTTTCACGCAGACATGCAGAGGCCTCGTTTGTTCTGTCAGTGAATAAACGAGTGTAACTGATCAGATAGGGACAGAGGATGTGGGTCGTTTACACGACAGCCCCATGAGGATAAATAAACCCAGAGAGCAGAACGTGAACCGAGCCAAGACACTGTCAGTGTGTTTAGAAGTTTCCTGCAGCAGGATGACATCACGAGTTAAAAGCTGCCGGGAAGCGTTTTTGAAAAGTCGCTGAGAGCAGAGAGGGAGCTGGTAAAGCTGTTTAAAAGCTGTGGGATAGTGTTGAGTGTCTTCATCCTGTTCGATCTCTGAGTCACTTTAAAACCACGTCTCTGTCTCAAAGCTCCAGTGTGTAAGATTCAGGTGAAAGGGAACTACTGGCAGAGATTTAATGTGGAATAATCCTCATGTTCGTTTCATCTCGATTGTATGAATTGTAGTTTTCTAAATACTTTATATTTAAATACTTTATATTTACATGGAGGGGACCCTCTCTACGGAGGCCGCCATGTTTTTTACATTAGTCCAGACTGAACAAACTAAACACCTTTTGAGTTTTTATAACAATTAAAGTCTACCACAGGATCATGTTTGGAAGGAGAGGGTGAGGATGAGGGGTGTTCAGCTGCAACACGACACTTCAACACTAGATGTCACTAAATTCTACACACTGGACCTTTAAATTGTCTTTGTTTCTAATTCCCTTCCCTTTTTTTGTTTCTTCCCCTCCCCCGCCCACAGTGAAAAACACCTGTCGGCTCTGCTCAAGCTCAAGACCAACGTCTCCAAAGCCGACAGGAAAACGGTCAAAGAGACTCTGTCGGACACTTTGAGAGAAACCAGTGTCGCGGGCACACGGTGTTTCTTCTCCAAGGTTCAGGTTAAATGAGGCTTCGATGACACAGTTCTCCTCGTTGCACTTTTCCTCCACACGCTGGAAGTGACAGTCTGAGGACAGCGGCGTGTTTGCTGAACGTTAGAGCATGAAAAGTAAAAAGCACACTTTTGTCATGTACTTTAGAGTTTGTGTGTCGGTGTGACTGAGAGAACGATGAGTGCATTAACTGTATAAATGTTTAAACTTTGCAAACATGGTGCATTTTACTGCTAAAAACAGTCAGGTCAGATTGTGTGTGTGTGTATTTTTGTGAAACAGTGTCAAGCTCAAGTGTGTTCCTCTTGTGTATATTTGTACATGCTTTGTCTTTGTGCTGAATAACTTAAGATTATGAATAAATGTGGTAAAACGTGAGTGTGGTTTGATGGTAGTAGTATTGCAGTATTCCACACACGCAGTAATCAACAGTAGTTGAAGTGTTTAATTCATGAACATGTAGTTTAGGACGAGTCAAAAACAAGAATGTGGCTTTTCCCAAAGGTCAGAGGTCGAGGTTGTGACGACTCCACCTCTTTATCACTGACTCTTCACCGGGGGGGGGGGGGGGGGGGGGGGTGTTAAACCCACTGATCATACACTCAACATCAACATCATCAACATTCATGGACAATTCTGGGAAATAATAATTGCTCCCCCATGACGGAGCCGAAGGTGTTTGAAGTTTATTGTTTTTAACTTGTGGCGGTCGCTCGTTGCCGCAGTGAAGGGAAGGATGTGAGTGTGCAGAGTTTGCTGCCGAGGGTTTTCATGAGCCTGTTGTTTCTTTCCTGGAAGTCTGTGTGTGTGTGTGTGTGTGTGTGTGAGGAAGGATGTGCACGGGGCCACAGCTACAAGTTCCTCTTGTGAGAGAGTGAGGGTCAGTGAACTATACCAGTAAGACTAAAAGAGTCTGTGCAGTCTCAGTTAATGTATTTCCTCTGCGTACTTTGACTTTTGACTTTAGTCCATGTCCAGTCTTTAAACACTTATGGACAGTACTGCAGCCAGCCACCAGGGGGGGGCGATCAAGATGATTTTGGCTTCACCTTTGAGCAGCCGTCACACCGTCCATTTTTATTTCAGGTTTCAAAAGATTTAAGCTTTGGATAAATCCTCACACTGTGTCCAGACATTCATGTTCCCCAGAGGCTGAATCCTTAGAGGCAATCAAGCTCGAACAATTACATTTTATAGAATAAGCAAAACTGTTTAAAATCCAAAATTTGAATCAGATCTTGTCGAGTGTTGAATCCAGAACTTTTTATTCTGTGGCGAAAAGTAACTTCAGAAGCTTCTTATCAGTCGTGTGCAGCCTCATGACAGAGGACACCCCCCCCCCTCCCGTAGGTCCTCAGTTAGAAACTCCTTTAATTACCTGGACCGACCTGAGGACACGTGTCTCTTACCTGCAGCTACACTCGCTGCTGCTGCTCGGACAGAGTCAAGTCTTCGTATCATGAGGAAACAAGTGACATTCGCAGAGAGTCAGATGATTCACAGGCTCCATCCAGATCAGACTCCGTCGAGGTGAAGTATTAAAATCATTCATTCATTCATTCAAAGATCATTTCTAGTTGGTTTTCAATGTCACTGAGATGATTTGGTTTGATATTTGTGAAGAATACGTCATTTTTTTATTGTTATTTCAATATTTACGTCTGCGAGAGAGAAATCTAGAAGCTCTGAAGATCGAGGAGTTAGATGATATTTCACTAAAATAATAATTCCCAGGAATCTTCCCGTCAGTTGAGTGAATGTTGAAAATCAAAGCATATTATTATGATGTGGAGACACTGTGACGTTCTTCTCTCTGTTGCAGGAGTTCAGGGATGAATCAGTCGAAGATGGGTGAGTGAAAATGATGGTTTCATTAACACGTTTTATTCAAAATATAAAAGTAGGGCAGAGACAGAGAGAATCAGATCCTCCGTGTCATTGTTTCAGGTGTCACATGACCCACACACCATCATCTCCTTGTTAAAGGAAACAAACACGTGTCGCTTCCTGTCGGCTCTGAAACCTTAGAGTCTGGTTCCGTGGAAAAGAAACTCCACACGAGAACGTGATCGGGTTCAAACCCGTGTCACAGGAAATGTCTCCTGACGAGCAGCTCTTTGGCTCGATGGTTTAAAAAAGGCCCATGAACAAAACTCTTTATTATTATTGTGATAAAACACAGCATGACGTCTGGAAGCCTTCGTCTCACCAGGAGAATCTGAGTTTCCTGTAGTTTGGATCCAGCTGAGATGAAATTTCCTGAGTTCAGGCTCGTTGTGCGTCACGAGGCCTGAAGATGCTTCAGACAAACTCTTTATTGGATGAGCTGACGGTCGCTACGAAAAATGGCATCAGTAGCGCAAAATGGCAGCGTTTGTATCTGGGGTATTTTAGTGGAGACGCGTCGTCCATGTTTATTAACCGTCGCCAGTCGACGGGGAACAACGCAGAACATGCAAAAGCTCTTTTATCTTTTCTCATCTTGCATCTTGTTTCTCGTGAATGGCTGCAGAACCAGGAAGGTTTTCCAGGAGGACACCGGTCGCTCTGTCCAGTCTCTGACGTCCTGACTCTCAGCTGACCTCTGTGTTTCCTCTCTGGTCACAGGGTTAAAAGACGTCGGTTTGATCCCCAACAGTGGTTTGAAAACCAACAGATCAGCGGCTGCAGCAGCTGAAACACAAACCCACCAAATAACAACCATACGAATCCCTGAGACGATGACTGCAGCTCCGTTCCTGAAGGTGGGCTCCCTCGCAGCTCCCTCCACTTTAACGTCCACCGAGCTACAAGTGCATCGACCTGAGACGTCCTGTTAGAAACCCGATGATCCAGCGACTGAGTGAAAGTAACATGACCTGTGTGGTGTGTTCGTCCTCCTCAGCACTCAGCCCTGACTCCAGCTCAGAGAGAGTACCTGTACACGGTCTCCGCCTCCTGCAGCTCTGCACACGTGCGCGGCCTCATCACCCGACACTACATGAACGTGCTGCACAGGTGTAAACGAGCAGGTGAGGAGAGACTTAGAACACGTGACCGACTGTGACTCTCACATCTGATTCCTCATGGAGCAGATTTTCTGTATTTCTTGTCCTGTGACACAGAATTTAAGAAGAAATTGACCTCACGACATTTTATATCATATGTTCTATTATATATATTATATTATTATATATAAACAGCTTCTGGTTTCAGGTTTTAACTCCGACAGCCACGACCTGATTGTGACGTCTGTGACCTCACCTGAGAGCGAGGGTGAAAAACGCCAAACAACAAAACAATCAGACGTTTCCTCCAGAGCGAGGCACAAGGCCAAGATAAGTACGAGTGCAAGGCATCCTGGGAAATCCTTTCTTCCAAAAATCCCCCAAAGCAGAGGAGCGAGGTGGGAAACACACTGTTAATGCAACCAAAGAGTTAAATATCTTCAATATAATAATAATGAGCTTTAAAATGTTCAGCGGAAGGTTTCTCTTTTGATTAAAGTGAATCAGTCTTTGTTTTAATCCCTAAAATCAAAGTTTATTGTGACCGGAACGTTTATTTGACTGTATAATTGAACACAAATGATTATTTTATTTCTTTAATAACCTTTTGTTGGGTCCTGCTTTCGTCTGTTGTTACAGGAGCCAGGATCAGGCTGTTGCAGGAGGAAGAGGATGAAGAGGAGGAGGAGGAGGAGGAGGATGAAGAGGATTCGACAACACCTTCTAAGATTTATGACATTTTCTGCAGATCTTTAAAAGTCTCAAAAAAGCATCTTCAATAAATAAACACCAGTATCAATGTGTGTGTATATATTTATAAAATAAAAATGTCCATGTATTTGTGTAAATGTTCCTTAGTTGTCATGTTATTACTGGATTACTGTTGTTGTACGTTACACTCTAATCTGAATCATTTCAGTTTGTATAAGATGTTGAGCTCATGAGTTGCGGCTCAGTTTGCAGCAGTTTAAATAACTCTGGTGCCCTCCAGTGTCAACGAGAGAAAACTACGTTCTGGAAATAATGATAATTAACACTTTGTATAAAATAAAGCAGAGATCTCATTTATTTCTCTGAGCTGCAGCTGTTTCCTTTACTGTAAATCATGAGACCAAAGGAGGATATTTGATATAAATATTGCGATAAACCCTGACGCACGTGACTGTGCAGTATTTACAAGTATTATTATTATTATATCATTATTACCATTTATTTGTTCTTGTCTCATCTTGTAAATACACATTTAATTATAGTTTCGTATGTTTTTCTTATCAGGGTTATTTTTCTGTACTTCATTCTACTGGGAATAAAACATCTTGAAAATCGGAGCCCTAAATTATTACAAGTAAAAGACTGATAGTTATTCCTGTTTCATGTTCTTCCAGCTTTCTACCCCAAACCTCTCCGGCCTTTTCCTCAGCATCGCTGAACAACCCTGTTTTCATTTTACATTTTTCTTCAACATCACATGTGAGTTGATTTGTGTTGAATTCACTTTGTTCGTAAACTAAAACTGTTTTTCACTTTCTCTGATCAAAAAACACCCGGAGAACTTTTTCCTCTTTCTCCCTCGGAGCCTCCGCTTCAGTACCTGCTGTGTTTTACTGACACTGCGAACAATGAGCTGCACACTGAAGTGTTCGTAGTCGTGCGCATCACTGTCGATCTACTTTACGACAAAACAGCGACAGAGTGAAATTAGATCTTTATTGAGGGGAAACAGAGAGAATGATCGACTACATGAAGCTAAAGTCCTGTTTGTTACGTGAACAGGACACGAGGGTGAACAAAAAAAAACTCAACGATCAAAGACAGAAAATGGCACCAAATATTTCTTTTGATAACAAATACACGTGACGTTATTGCATTCTCTACAGTGACCAGAGGACAGCTTGGATTCAAGCAAATGCTGATGACATATAAACAATATAATACACAGGTCTTCGAGAGTAAAGTTTGGATTAAGATCGTGGTGACTGCGAGGCGGTGGGGGGGGGGGGGTCGGGGGTGTGGGGTGGCCGCCGCCCCGTCTCCCCGTTAGAAAAAGGAATGAAATGCGAGACTGAGCCACGTTAACCCAAATTTTCTCCTCATGACGTCTTTAAGATTTCTTGTACTCGATTCTCTCCACCTTCACGTCGTCTCCGATCAGCTGATAGACGTACGTCACCACGGTGGAAGCCTGGATGTCCATTAATACGAAGGAGGGGATGATGTTGCTGGAAGAAAAGAACACAGATGTGTTTTGGGGTCAAGTCTCATCCAAAACAAAACTTCCATCTATTTAAATGAGTTATTAAGTAGAGTTTTGATCTCCCACCTCTCCAGTGCGCTGTAGGCTCCTGTGGCAGAACCGGGGTTGATGTAGAACTTGTTTTCGTTCTCAAACGCCTCGAACTTGTGCGTGTGGCCGGAGATGAGGATGTCGACGTCCAGCTGTCTCTGCAGCAGCGCCAGGCTCGCCATGTCGCCCCAGGGAATCACCTGGTGGCCGTGGATCAGGCCGATCTTAAACTGGCCCACTGTCACCACCTTCTGCTCCGGGTAGTTCAGGTTCTGTGAGCGGATAAAGAACGCAGATACACAAAGACGTCTATTCACCGCTGTTTTTGTAATTATACAACTGAAAACTGTGATGTGTTCTGTAGAACTACTACTAGAACTACTACGATCAATTTCCTGATTGACTAAAATCAACTGATAATTATTTGGTACCTAAATAATTCTTTATGTTTTAAGCATAGGAGCCAAACATTAGTCTCAAACTCAGGACTCACACGCTGGTGACTTTAATCTAGACGCTGCTCGCTCAGTTTGAATGCGACATCAGGAGTTGCCTAATTGCATTGTGGTTAGGTTGTGTCACGTAGCTCGAGCTTCGACATGTTTAAATAAAGAGGGGCAAGCAAAACAACGTTAAAGAGGAAGCAGAGGCGGCTGGTGAACCTCGTGTGATCTCATCTGGTGGTGTAACGTTTACGACTTATACATACGGACGAGTTGTGCGTGAGTCGTCTACAAACAATACACTCACCTCATCGAAGTCTCCTCGTACTATGTGCACGTCTCCAGCGAGCGTCTTCAGGTAGTCATAGCTCTCCTTGGTGCAGAGGTTTCCCGTGCAGAGAATGTGTTGGATCTTCCCCGGGACCAGCAGCTTCTTGAACTTGGCTGGCAGCGTGTTGCACCGGTGGGGGATGTGCAGGTCACCTAACACCAGGACCAACTGACAGCAACACACACATACACACACACAGATTAGTTAAAAACCGATGTGACGCTGGAGAGTTCAGACTGTATGTTGTGGCATCTTAAAAAAAAAAAATAAGTGGGCTGAGGATCGAACCCTGCGGGATGCCGCTGGTCGTTTTAACAGCAGGAGGATTATGCAAACAAACTCCACCAGAATCATTGTCCTCCTCTGTTAGTTCTTTACAACCAAACTTTAGTTGACTACACCCGAACAACAACTTGAGGATAAGCGATGTTTGTGAGAAGCTTCATTGATCGTCTGAATTCAAACCGGGTAGTAAATACTACATCTTGTTTATTCCAAAAACAGACCAGTGGAAAAATATGGAGTCAAACAGTTGGATTTCAGACACTCAATGACAGATACATGACACCAGGATATTAGAATCAAACACCAGCAACTCTGAGGGTTTCTTAATTAAATTCAACCCTTAACTAAGAGAAAACTCAACTAAGCATCACAGAGATGCTTCAAATATTAGTTACGGCTGCATGTTAATACTTTTGCGACATTTCAAGGTGACATCGTACATTAAATGTCAGTTTCACCAGGAACTGTTTTGTCACGTCATATCACAGACTCGAGATAAAGATGGACGACGTGGCGGCTTCTCTAAGTGAAGCCAAAGCATCTCAATTGCCCCCTGGTGGCCAGCTGCAGTACAGGTAATGAACCCTGCCTCTATGTTAGTTGACGGGACATGGACCAAAGTAAAAATATTGGTTCTATGTCATTTATTTCTTATCACACTGATGTGGGTTTGGTTTTAATTAGTTATTTGAAGATATAAAATGGAGTGAAAGGATTGTAGATGTCAGCGCTCGTATCCAGGCTGTGTTGGAGTTTTTAAATTTCTGGATAGTGCTAATGGAGATGCATCGTCCATCTTTATTTACATACTATACTTCATATGTATGCATTGTGAAAAAACAGCAGCGTATTTCATTTGTTCTGAATAAAGTTTGATTTAATTTTACACCTTAGCTTAATGTGGTCTTGAATCTGTATTTATTTGGCTGAATGAGTCATAAGTAAGATTTTCTGTAGGATGACAGCTACAAGCGAGTGTCAGGCACCACTTCACCGCACTGCAGCTGCTGGTTTAGCGGCTGCTGGTTTAGCGGCTGCTGGTTTAGCGGCGGCTGGCGGTGCCGTGAGACGCAGCGGACCTCCATGGCCGTGCAAACCCCCTCTCCTGTGTTAGTGTGGCAGGCAGAGGAGCGAGCAGAAAACAAGGATTCCAACACAGAGCGAGGGCACTTACCCGGTGACCAGCCTGGTTGATTGGAGACACGCAAGGAGAGGGGGAGTGGGTGAGATAGAGAGGAAGGCGGGATGTGCGTGGAGAGAATGACACGACGAGGCATGACCGAAGATTGAGGGGTTGGAAAAAAAAGACAAACAGAAGAAAACAAGAGAAGAAAGAGTTGGGAGAAGAGGGGAAAACTGAAATTAGAAATTAAAAAAGGTGAATGGATTAAGTAGACAGATATTAATCATTCAAAATCAAATAAGGAAATTAAACAACAATGTGATTGAATCATTGGTTAATGGCGGATGGTTAGTGATAATGATGAAGCAAAACATTCTGTCATCACCTGATTGTGAGCAGATGAAAAATCATGTCGGAGCGACTACAGTACATGTCCTAGTTTGGTAATGTGTTATGTTGTGTTCAGGCTAATGTCATTTGTTCAATACTGCATGTGTGTCGGAGCAGTGCACTGTGCTAAGCTATGTTTCTGTGTTAGAATACATTGTTGTAGCTTACGACAGGTGATGTGGTGCAGTTTGGTGACTCATGGGCAAAATGTTTTGGAGACAGTTGCTGATATGATTGAGAGAAGTGAGCCGAAGTTTGGATCAACATGTGTTATTGACTGTGAGACATATAAAGGAAAGAGGATGAAGTCGGCAATGCTGAGATGTAATGTGACCTTGGATCTCCAGCAGTGACACTGGGAATATTTTAAAAATCAACGCATTTCAAGTTTTCCTGCATTAAAAAGGGGAATTCTGGAATTTTGGAAAGTTTTGCTAAGTACTATTTATTTCCACGACCACAAATCATTTTCAACATAAGGCCCAGGTTGAAAAATACCAGAATTCCCCTTTGAGTGTGAGCACATCAGGATTTCAGAAAAAAGTCAACTTATATTTTATGGGAACACGATTCAAAAACAAGATTCTCTGCAGAATAAATGGCCTCCGAGGTTGGATCGAAGTAAACGACCATTAAAGAAAATGAAAGTAGAAATAATCTGACCAGGCAGATTAAAACTGAACCTGCACATGTTGTTATTTACAATCTAATAATTCACATTGATCCAAACCAAAGACGAAATGGTTTCTCAATTGTCAGATACTTACTCAGTAACTTTGGGACTAGATCGTAAAGATAAAATGTTCATGCTCATGTAAATGTTTTCAGATTTACTCATTCACATGAATTCAAACTGGATGTTGTGGATGTTTGGATGTTGATGAGACGAATGGATGAATCTACAGAGAGTTGGAGAGTCAGAAGCTTTAAATCAAATAACAGTGTCACGTTCATCTATGACGTAAATCCTCCAAACTAGTGTCCGACTTGTGACCAAATGAAAAGAGAGACAGAGTGAGTGAGTGAATGAATAGCGGGCAGATGTGCTCCTGGTGTTATTTAACATTTACTTCACATCGTGTTCAAACGGTGGAACCTGTAGTTCTGGTTCAACATCAGTGAGGCTTCCTGTTTGTGCAGGAAGCCTCACTGCATTCACTGTTAGCCTGCTAGCTCTGAGAGCTAACCGGTTAGCAAACAGGAAAAGTGACGCAGACGTCGCGACACCAACAAAACGGCGGAACCACAGCGCGCGGTGAGCGAGCGAGACGAAGTGAGGAAACACCGGGAGGGTGAGCGAGTGAGCCGCGGCGGCTTTCTCCGGTTGTTTGGGACTTCAACCGTCCGTGTGTCATGTGACCGCGGATCCGCCTCGGCGCTGACGCTTCACTGTGAAACACAACACAACGAACATCTGGAGCAGCGACGCGGGGCGGAACCCAGCGGGAGTCCGCGCCACATCTGGAGGGCAGAGGCGGGAACACGCGCGGAGAGAAATGAAGTCGAGGCCTTTTCGCCATTTCACACTCACCATCTTCTGATCCGCTGCGAGCACCGTCGACCTGCGGGAGCGTCTGCGCACGGAGCACGTCACCGCGTACAGCCAATCAGAGGACCGGAGGCGAGCGCGTGCGTCGAGCCGGGGGTGCGATGCTTCCTGTGGGGCCTGTCAAAGTAAAAGCACGGTGCGTTAAACGCGCCACAGGTGGGCCCCTGGGGTATCAAGATATAAGATTTCAAGATTGTTTTATCTGTCACATACACAATCATACACAGTACAATGCTTAGGGAAATTGTTTTCGTTCCTGCTACCAGATTAGTAATAAATTGAAATATGTAGAAAATAAAGACTAAAACTTAAAAAAAACTTTCGAGAGGCTCTCTGGAGCCCAATGGACCTGGTTTTTGTGCGTGAGGTCAACTGAGGGAGCACAAACAGGAACAAAACGAGCAAATGGTGATGCAAAATGAGCACAGACAGGCAAAGTAAACAAGACGAGAGAGGATTCTGTCAGAAACGTGATGCAAAATAAGCACAAAGAGACACTTGATGTGACGATGTACCACAAAAGGATGCAAAACTGCCAAACAGTCGCAATATGATGCACAATGAGCACAAAGTAGCACAAATAGAATAGAATGCATTTGTTGTCGCTATACACATGTACAATGAGATTTTTAAAAAACTCTCCAATAACAGTGCAACCAGTGTACATATGACATAAAGTAAGTAAGGTAAGGTAACAGTGCAAATAAAGAGGTAAGGAATATGTACGTTTACAGATAAATACAGTGTTTAATAAATGTGTGTATTGCACGTTATGGTATGGATATTACACAGTGAGAGGTAGAGAGGGGAGAGTGTTTTTAAATCTATTCAGATCTTCCAAAAGGTGATGCAGAGACATGCAATGATGCAAACTCATCGTGTCGGTGGTCCATTTGTATTTTTTTTTTTTTTTTTAATTTTATTTCATCCTCTCCTCTCCTCTTATCTCAGCCCCGTCAGCTCGCGGGACCCTTTTAGTTTGAAGCGGGCGCCCGCGCCGGAAGTGTGCGGCGGTCGCTCGGCGGTGCTTCAGCTCAGAGTCAAAGCGCAGAGAAGCGTCGGAACATTCGAGAGGCGAGAGGAGACTCACACATCCACCGAGCTGCCACCGCTTCGTCCGGACGTAGGTTCCCCCACGCGTGTCCGCGTCTTTCCCCCGAGAAGCGGTCGCGAGCCGCGCGGGGCGGTAAGGCCGAGGAAACCGCTCGGTCGCGTTCAACGCGGCGCGTCGACAGACCCCGGCTAATAGCTGACGTTGCGTTAGCATCGGGGCTCTGGCTATTTCCAGGAGTAGCAAGCCGTTACGACACACGGCCGATGGTCACTGTTGAGCTTTCACCGTCTGACCGCGCGACAAAGTGGCGTCACTCCACTTTTACCACTGTTTACATCAGGTTAATCGTCGGAACTGTGTTTTTTGTGTGTGTGTGTGTGTGTGTGGAGGGGGGGGGGGGTGGTAATTGGCAACACGTGTAAGGTTAGCATGTTAGCCTCCCGTCGAGCTACGCTGTGTCGCCCAGCTAACGGGACGCGTTGAGGGTTGCGTGGTTTCTTCGCCGTCGTGACATTCACGCAGAACGATTAACGTCAGATGATGATGCTAACGTTAGCTTCCGCTGTAATGTGAGTGTCTTCTCCCTCCCCCTCCCTCTCCCTCCGAAGGTCCCCCCCTCCCTCGAAACCCCGCGAGGACGACCCAGAAGCCCTGCCTCCGTCTCCGAGCCTGGCACCTGCACCGGTTGGACGCTCTCGGGTGTTGGACTGCGCGTCTTCGGGAGCCGCTAAACCACCAAGGAACTCTGCTGCAACCCACACGACACCCGCCGCAGCCATCCAGCTCCGTTCACTGCGTCTCTTGGACGATCAGCGTTGTGTTTATGTCTTTGTTTTGCGAAAACGGTGAGTACCCGGGGCTCCGTCTACGACCAGTGTTTGTAAAGGAGTCGTGATAAACGTGGCGTGTGTCTGTCTTTGCTGTGTGTGTGTGTGTGTGCGTGTGCGCGCGTGTTGTTATTGCAGTATGACATGTTTTCTGTGCCCCTGTATCAAAATGGCGTCTCCCATTCCCGTCACTCGTGTGCAGTGGCTGGATGACGCACTCTGCACCAAGCATCCAGCTAAGCTAACTAGCCTCCACCACCACCTCCACCACCTCCCACCCCCCCCTGAAATAGCCTCGACCCGTGCTTGCTTCACCTCAGCCCGGGGACTCCCCGGTGCCACTGACGAAGCGGCAGTGAGTCACCTCATGCGGAGCCGCCCTGACATCCTCCAGTCCGGGGATCCGCCACCAGAGCCGTCAGTAGAGAGGATGGTGGGTGGGGGGGGGGGGGGGTTTGGCAGCTGCTGGGCCTCCTGTTTGTGACCTATTAACAAGAGCAGGCCTTATGTGACTAAAGCCAGAGGCCCGCATGTAAGACAAAAGGCTTNGGGGACTCCCCGGTGCCACTGACGAAGCGGCAGTGAGTCACCTCATGCGGAGCCGCCCTGACATCCTCCAGTCCGGGGATCCGCCACCAGAGCCGGGGGGGGGGGGGGGGTGTTTGGCAGCTGCTGGGCCTCCTGTTTGTGACCTATTAACAAGAGCAGGCCTTATGTGACTAAAGCCAGAGGCCCGCATGTAAGACAAAAGGCTTTTTTCTGTATTTACATGCCCACAAAAGCTCTGCAATGCGTCCAGTGTGGTGGCCCGGTTTTATTTTTCCTCTTTGGTGTAATCTGCTGAGCTTGCTCCCCCACTGCCGGATCACATCGATATTTGCTGGATTTGCGGTATGTTGGCAGAGCAGAGGCTGGAAACTGGCTCTTATGCATGTTTGCAAAATCGGTTCTGTCAAGCAGGAGTTGAAGCTCCCACTGGTTTTCAGTTGAGACATATTTGAATGAGGAGCTATGTGGAATCTTTTAAGGTTTTTTTTTTTTATTGATGGTAAATCAAAAATACTTTTCCAACAGTTTTTCTTATTAACAAGCACAAGATGATGTTGGATAAGCTCCGTTTACTCTCGAGCTTTTGGAAGTTGAAATTTAACATATCGACTGTTTGCGATTCAAGATGTATCGTCATTAAAATACATGAGGTACACGGAAGGGAACGAAACCAAGTACTGAGGTCCTGGTTAGCAAATACTGGGAAATAAATCAGTAGAGTTTGACACTAAACCATGATAAAATGGCAGTACTTGGTATCGATAAGGAGTATTGTTAAATACAAGTATAGATATTCAAGTATTATTGCACATGAAAGTGACTTGTTTGTGGCATGTTAAAAATATACTTATTGCACATATACGTGAAAAACTTTAGAACGTAAAACCTAATCCAACTACAATTATTCAACACGAACAGTTTCATTGCTCAAAGGCTCGGTCACATACACATGAATGCAACAGTAACCTTTGCTTCCCGTTCACTTCCAATAAGTGCAAGCGAGGGGAAAATTAAACCCTTGTTTCCAGTGGCGAGGCAAATTGCAGTGTGGATTTGTGTTGAGTTCAACCTCGGTGAACTTTGACCCGTGATATTTGCTTCGCGTATGTGTGACTGTTTCCTAACGCAGCAAAATACCGCAGCTCCAAACTCGTCAATTGTCCCTGTTGGGGCCAGGGACGTCCACACTGTCAGCTGATGCGCTCGACGTGGTGTAAATAGTCAAGAAGGAGTTTCCCTCTGCTCTTAAATCAGTTTGTTTGTTGTCAGGTGCTTCATTAAGTTTCTTGTGTGCTTATTTTTACACAGATTTGGTTTCTAACACTTGAAACGTGTGAAATATTGACTGTCGACCGCTGTAGACATTTTGTTGGCTCGAGTTTGAGTGTAATGACTTAAACATTAATCTAGACACGTGCAGTGTTTCTGTTGTTTGTAAGCAGAGAAACATTTTCAGAGCTCAGGCAACGATGTCTGCGTCGTGATTCGGTACCGAGGGTGTCAGTCATGTTTGAACCGATGCCTGGTTGTCACTGGATTCTGGCACAAACCCCCGACTCTGCAGTGTCCCTCGGTTGTGTCCGACACTCTGGTTCCTCCTGTAAATTCTGGTAACTGGAGAAATGGCTGCAGCCACCCTGGAATCACTTTGCACCACAGGAATCGTTTCATTGTGTTCTCGTGGCCTGCGAGCTGTCAAGATCACAAACCGCTGTCAATGCAAAATAAATAATACAGTGTTGTCTGGGTGGCAGCCACAATACAATGATTAATGTGCCTCAGTTGTTTGGTTTATAAACATCGTTGATTTCACAATGAAATCTTTGTCGTTCTCTCCTGATCTTTAATTGTCGCAGAAGCAGTTTGAACCAGGTGATGGTTAGAAAATGACTTAAACTACTTAATCAGACGTTTAAAATAAATTTGCCAATAACTAATATATATATATATAAATAAATAAATGACAATCTGTATTGAAGTGATCTACAACTCACATGAAGATGCTTCTAGATTTTCCTGATTAAATATTGATTGTCTTTTGTCCCTCTCTCCTCTTTCAGAGCTGTTGCGCAGCCGTTGGAACCTGTGTGGTGGAAATCTAGCCTTCAAGCAAGGAGCTTGCGGCCACAGCGGCACAACATTTTTCATGTCAGAGACCGAGCACGCTTGCAGTCGTTTATGTCATCCCCTCTTTTCCAGACAGAAGATCCCGAAAAATCCCCAACCAAGATCCTTTTATCTTACTGATAGTGCTAACATCCAGCCAAAATGTCTGTCAACGTCAACCGCAGCGTGTCAGACCAGTTCTACCGCTACAAGATGCCCCGTCTGATTGCCAAGGTAACTCCTCCCCATCATGGATATTCTACAGTTTCCACAACGTCCAAGTTGAAATGTTGATACGGATCAAATCAGAGTTGACTGATAACATTTTGTTAAAGAAGTCACTGTGCAGCCTTAACTTGTGTAGAGGGAACGATGTCAGTCAAACCTTGTGTTGTATTTTCCATTCAGGTTGAAGGCAAAGGGAATGGAATTAAGACAGTTATTGTCAACATGGTTGATGTTGCAAAGGCACTGAACAGGCCTCCAACATGTAAGTAACACCTTGTGTGGTGTCTTCTTCTGTTTCAGGTTTAGTTCCAGGACGTAGAAATATATTTACTAAGATAAGAAACTGACATTTGGTTAAACTATGCGTTCTGTGATGTTTATTTCACTGTGACCTCTGATGTCATCTCTGCTCTCTGCCCCCGCAGACCCGACCAAGTTTTTTGGTTGTGAACTCGGCGCTCAGACCCAGTTTGATTCCAAAAACGACCGTTACATCGTCAACGGATCCCACGAGGCGAACAAGTTGCAGGACATGCTTGATGGGTTCATCAGAAAATTTGTGCTGTGCACCGAGTGTGACAACCCTGAAACTGATCTGGTAAATATCGCGTCTGGACGCCGTGCTTGGTCATTTCACACGACCTCGATCCTTCTGATCTGAAGAAACTCCCAAAAATGTCAACTATTTAAATTCATAAAGCAGAGCCGTCGTGGTTTATTTTAGTTTTGACTGTGTCTGTTCCTCTCACAGCATGTCAATCCCAAGAAACAAACCATTGGCACTTCCTGTAAGGCCTGTGGAAACCGCGGCATGCTCGACACCAGACACAAACTCTGCACGTTCATCCTCAAAAACCCACCAGGTGAGAAAGTGTTCCTGCTTCCAATGAAACAAAATGAGCAGTTTCCGCTGAAACTTTTAAAATAAATGCACAGCAGAAAATTATTCTTCCTCCCCATCAACAGAGAGCACCGACAGTGGATCCGCATCTGCAAAGAAAGAGAAAGAGAAGAAGAACCGCAAGAAGGACAAGGAGAACGGCTCCGGCAGCGGAGAGGCTGGGAACCAAGAGAACTTTAACGCTCCTGAGGTCGTGGTGGGTTTCATTCTGAGATACTTGACCAATAAGGAACTAGTACTGGTAACGTCAGGTCCCGTTACACACTCACCTAAACTGCAGAGAAGGAAACTCCCTGGTCACAGTTCAGTGGCCTGGTTGAGAAGCTTATCTTTGTTTAAGTACACAAACAGAGTTGATTATCAGCGTCGCACAGTCTGCTGCCACTTCAGTTATCGGACTCTGTGCATTTCATGAAATCGTTCACATGCTGGTTGACTGTTGGATTCTTCAACAGATCATAAAATTATCATGATCATTATTTATCTCTTAAAACTTAATTTGTTCTGTGGTTGTTTGCTGAGAAATTATGTTAAACATGATAATGACGGCGTCTGTTTGCTCAGGTTTCATGATTCACAACCTGTGGTTTAAAGTTCAGCCTCAGAAACTGTTACTGAGCAAAGAAACAGTTCAAACGTATTTTAATTTACTGTGGGAAACACTGTCTTTACATTGGCTTCATGGAAACCACCACATTTTAACACACACAGAAACTTTCGGGTTTTTAAGTGCAGCAAGTTCTAATTTGTTTTTTTTTTACATACCTGGTTCACAAGTGCTTTTAGTTTAGTTTCTTTAGCTCTAAATAAATTATATCAGATATAAATCTATCTATGTAAGAAGTTTGTTTTGTACACTATACCTTATTGTCCCCTTTACTTCTTTACTCCTTTACTTTACATACTGGGAGGTTAACAAGGTGGAGCTGCATTCTTTTATAATTCTGTAGCGCTCACGCAACTCACTCTCCTGATCTGACGATGCACACATCTGTGTTTTGAGCTGAAGTTTCCCCAAACAGAGCAGTTCTATCAGTTCAGATCATAAAAAATCATCAGTTCTTTTACATTGTTTGTGTTTAAGATCCCTCAGTGGAAAACCTCAATGTTTGTCTGTCTGTAATTGTTGCTTGACGTTTCTGTGTCTGCTCGTCAGGACCGAGACGACGACGACGAGGACTGGGCCGAGGAGACTACGGAGGAGGCACAGCGGCGGCGAATGGAGGAGATCAGCGACCACGCCAAGAACCTGACGCTCAGCGAGGACCTGGAGAAACCCCTGGAGGAGAGAGTCAACCTGTTCTACAACTTTGTCAAAGTAAGAATCACAAGCTGCTGATTCAGAATTGTCCTTATTCACTCACATCGTCTGTTTTTTCCTTTTACAAATATAAAATTTTCATTCCAGATTAATGTTCATCAGTTAAGTTCACTGATGGATCAGTGCTTATATCTGTAAAATACCAAATTAATCGTTTCTCTTTACATGTTTAAACTGTGAGAAACAAAAACTAGTATTAAATTCATGAGCGTAAATCAAGAACACAAACTCTAAAATGTTTTCTTTCCTCCTTTAGCAAAAGAAGGAGAGTGGAACCATCGACGGGGCTGATAAGGATATCTTGGCGGAGGCAGAGCGTCTGGATGTGAAGGCCATGGGCCCCCTCATCCTCAGCGAGCTGCTCTTCAACGAGAACATTCGCGATCAGATCAAGAAGTACAAACGCCACTTCCTGCGAGTAAGTCGAACGATGCGCCTCTTAACGTTTCTCTGGATCAGATGTAACATCAGATTTTTCCCCTCATGACAGGAGTGGTCGTCTGACTGTCTTTTGTTTCTCCACAGTTCTGCCACAACAACAAGAAGGCCCAGAAGTATCTGTTGGGAGGCTTCGAGTGTGTCGTGAAGCTGCATCAGGTCCAGCTGCTGTCGCGAGTTCCCATCATCCTCAAAGACCTGTACGACGCTGACCTGCTGGAGGAGGACGTCATATTCACCTGGGCAGAGAAGGTGAGCGTGTGTAGACATCTTAATATGAAAAACTGAGTTCAGCATTTTAAAAATCCTGTTAAATGGAAACAAGAACATTTACTTTTAGCGGCGACGAGGCAAAGACCTTTTTTTTTATTTTTTCTTATCAGGTTGTGAACACACGTTGTGAACATTAACTGATACAAGGTTAAAGAAGCAGCAGTGGTATTTATTCAGTTAAATATTAAACTTCATACAGCGGCTAGTGTTTACTCTAATGTGACTTACAGAAAAAGTTGTTTTGAATGTTTAATACTGATTTTTATCAAACAAAGTCAGTTTGGAATCCAGCAAATAAACTGAAGTGGTACAAAGGTATGTGTTAAACTGCATATGGTAAAATAAAATAAATAAAAATATATATACATGTATATATGCTACTTCACAGACAACAGATAAATTGGTACATTTTGCATTTTCCTGTCGAAACTGAAGTAAGTGACGATTCCTGCAAACATTTCCTGCAGCTTCCTCAACGTTTGTTGACTTGAACTCAAATCCAGTGTTGGAACAGACTTATCACACACTGACGCATAATCAGGACCAGACTGTGCTGAAGCCAAACTGTATGAAGCAGTGAGTCTGGTTAGAAAAGGCACAGACAGGTTTGATCTGAACAGAGAACACACCACGAAGAACACTTTGGTTTTTTTATTGTTTACACTGAACATCAGAGAATTTTACTCCGAGCACCAACTGGAGAAAATAACTTTTTCTTTTTTACAGTACAACACTAAATTAAACCAGAGCCTGACTGACGACTGATGTCTTTCTCCACCAGGTCTCTAAGAAATACGTCTCTAAGGAACTTGCCAAAGAGATCCACGCCAAGGCTGCTCCTTTCGTCAAATGGCTGAAGGAGGCAGAGGAGGAGAGTGAGGGCAGCGAAGAAGAGGAGGTGGAAGATGACGAGAACGTGGAGGTGATGGATGTAGATGAGTTGGACGGCGAGAATCCGTTGTTCCGTGTGAACTTTGTTTTCGTTCAGCAGCTGAGTGCTTTGTGTTTCGTGTCCTCAGGTTGTGTACTCGTCCTCTGCCCGCGAGCTCAAAGTGGAGACAGTGAAGAAAGACACGCCCGAAAAGGAAGAGGACGACCTCGACATCGATGCAATCTGAGACTCTGGCGACGCTGATGCTTCTCTTGTGTTGTGGCTTTGACTCACGATGCCCTGTGCGACCCAAATGGCTGGCCACTCCCTCCTTTACTTACCTGCCTCCCCCCCCCCCCTCGTCCCCCGTCCCTCTCCCTCCTCTGCTTTGTGGCATGACTTAACATAGCGCTTTACTTGCTGCACATTAACGCTAATCTAATTTCTGAGATCTATTGAGTTGATGGAATGAAGTCGATTTGGGGATTTTAATCAGGGGTGTTCTGGGATCATTTTGACTGCACATTTTGTTGTTGTGTTTTTTTTTTTTTTTTTTGGTCCCTGTATTTTTCCAGTCAATAAAGAATGAATGTTTTGCTATCCAGCACACTTGATCGTTTACTTTGGATTGAAATCGTACATGCAGGTGACCCCAAATTAAATTCTAAAGCTCCTCTATAATAACATTGATGGACAGAATATTAACGATGACCTGTTTGAGGATTGATTGAAAAATTCACTGGTCCAAGAATCTCGTGTTTATTTGCTTCTTCTGTCATTAAACTGAATATATTTGGATTTTTGCGTGTTTGTCAGACCTAGTGATGGAGTCTGGGAAATTATTACAGGTACGTCCACATTCTCTTCGTTACCAGAGCAACAGCTGATGACGCTGGAGTCAGCGAGAAACACGATCACAGACTCGTGTAGTAGATGAATAAAGGAGAAACATCAAGTAGAATGAAACTTAATTTACACTTCAGACAATCCTTCACGTGATCGTCTAGAAATGTAAAATACAACAGGAAGTGGTCTGTTAACCTAAATGATTGAATTTTCCTAAACGTTATATATTTTATTAATTTATTTATTTACGTGTATCTGCTTAAGACAAATATGCATAACAGTTTTATATAACAACAAAGTACGTCACAATAAACAAGATCTGTGGAACAAATCGTTTTAAGAAATCTGAAAAGATGCTTCTGGATCATATTGTTCTCAACATCAGCCCAGACTGAGTTTTTAAATTTAGGATCTGTGAATTATTCCCTGATTAATTCATGGACATGTTGAAACATGTTAAAATTAAAATTAATACTTTTAATCTACAGACATAAACAATATACACAAGCACACATACACATTGGACAGATTGAATAAGTTCAAGTACTAGTTTATATGATGCATTTTAAGTAAATAAACAAGAAGTGAATATAACTACTGCATTTTCCACCATTCATGGAATACCAGAGGGAGATTAGGGCGTGTCTTTGGTACGACAGAAACGAAAAATGCAGTAATTAAATACATGTATTCTCTAAGTAACAGGAAGGAAGTTTTTTTATATCACAACACAAAAGGTCATCAGTCACAGTCAGTTGTGCTGTGCTCAGTCAAACGTTAATCATTTTTATGAAATTCATGTAAATGAAGAGAAAAGTGGGAAAAAAATGAGTTGTGTTTATTTTTTCCATCTTCTCTTGATTTTTCTTTTATTCTGGTTTGGATGAATTTAACTAATCTGCCTCAATAAGAAAGTGATTTACTTTAATTTTCCTGAAGTGAAAAATCTGAGTAAATGTCAGTAAAGTGTAAAAGTCCCATTTAAAGTTTCTCTGAGCTGATTTGTTGCTGAGCAGAAAGTTTCTCTGAAGTTTCTCTGGAGTTTCTCTGGAGTTTCTCTGAAGTTTCTCTGGAGTTGGGAGCTGATGACAGTTCTGATCCAGAGACACTGAGCTCAGCTGCTCTCCTCACTTCCTCACGCTGCCTTCAGGCCCTGTGGGAAATATCCACAACCACGTTTCAGCACGTCCCAGAATCTGAGTCTGATGTTTTCCTCACAGTCTCCATAGTCCTTAATTGTTTCTTTTAGGTTTTTATTCGTTGTACTTTAAAAAAAAAAAAATATATATATATATTTTGATTATTTTACAGAAAATTTTAAATTTAATGTTGTGATTTAACAATTTGTTTGCTGTAGTTTCCCCAAAGCTTTGGAACTTTTACTGTTGACACTTAGTTCTGAGTGTTGTTCAATTTAAACTGAAGACCTACATCTGTTCTCTGGATTTTCAGTGTCCTTACTTTGTTTTATTTGGATTTTTTAGCCTTTTATTTCTATCTCATCTCATTTCATTTTATTCTTGTACGTCTCTTGATAGTTTTCACTGCCCAGCAGATCTGGTTGGTGACTCTGGTTGTTTTAAATGTTGCTATTTACTCAATAAACATCTGAAGAAGTGACGATTTAATTATTTTATTTAACATGTTTGAAACTTATAAAAACATTCCCGCTCTCCTTCCTGAGCTGATAGAGACGATCAATATCATCTGCTGCCGTAGTTTTTATTGTTTTTTGTCATGTTTCACTTGTACATTAACCTGCTATCCACAAATACAGTATTTTACAAATACTCATATGTCACAATTTCATCCCCAGATGTGATGAACATCACTGTCTCACTACCACACTAAAAAAACAATCGTATATAATGTAAGAAGTAAAATTACTGAAATATTGAAATGACAGGGACAGAGTCAATGATTCAAACAAATGGGAATTCCCCTGTTGGATGAAACTGAAATTTAAACTAAACCCTAACCCTTTTATTAACTTGTTTTAACTAAAGTTTAATGAATCTTATTAAATAATCAAAGGGAAAAAAAGCAGTTTTTGTTGCAACCCTACTTTATTTGACATTTAACTGTTTTTAAGATGACTGATTTTAACTACCACTGAATCTTAAATACTAAGATTGAATTAATTTCAAGTATTAACAAGTCATATTATCGACTGATGGAGGAACATTTTGATGAGAATACATCTCAGTCACAACCCGACACGTCACCTTGTTCCACATGTTAGTACTACATTTTACGACCACTGAATTTTAAAGACTTGTTGATTAATTGAGAAAGAAATTAATGAAAATACACTTCAGTCACAACCCTTCCTTCTCTTTATTACACATCATACTAAAACATTTCACTAATACTAAACTTTCCAACTGAACTTTAACTTTATTTGACTAATCCGGGAACATTTTTTAATACATTCTTGTCACAACCCTACTTGTCCTCTTGTTCCACACTTCACCACAACACTCTACGATGTTTAATTTGAGCCCTAACCTCTAATTAACTTGAACTTGTAATATGTTTTGACGTGGACTGAACTTTAATCGACTAATCGAAGGAAACAAATAAAAAAAAAACAACTGCTGTTTGGTGGACAGCTCAGATGTCGGGGGCTGGGAGCGGCCCGTGAACGCATCCTAATCCAGCCCCGCCGCGGAGCCGCCATTTTGGTTCCACCTAACTCAGACAGCTTCACTTCGGGCCACCGGAGATGGAAGAAACCGAACCGACGGCGAGTATCTCAGCCGCCGACACCGTCTGATCCCCGGTAGGAAACATCCAGCGCGGAGCCTCGACGCCATGGCTTCTTTTTAAACCGGTATTTTCGAGGAAGGGGGGGAAAAAAAGCCCGGAGCCATTTTTGGTTGGACGGCGCCCGAGCGTCAGTTTAGTTCACGGACTCGAACCCACCGGACGGACGGACGGACGCTGCCTCGGTTTCGAACACACTTCATGCTCGGTGCGGACACACGCACGGGTCATTTCCCCTCGGTCCGTGTGCTCCGGCACGTCCGCTGCTTCTCCGAGAACCGATCCATGCGGAGGCAGCTCGACCCGCGGAGCGAGGCGCAGAGTCGGGTTTAGTGTCGAGTGTGTGTGTCGGTGGATTTTTTTTTTTTTTTTTTTGTGGGGGGGGAGAACGTAAGAACCGGGACCGGAGGAGAAGATGTCAAACAAAACTCCATTACCCACAGTGAACGAGAAGGGGACGGAGACGGTAAGAATAAAGTCCGCTGCCACTTCTCTCTGCCCCGGACACAGCCACACTTCTCTCTCTCTGTTCCTGTTGTTCGTGTTTCTCTCCATCCTCCTTCAGCCTCTCTTTTCTTTTATTCTGGGGTTTTTTTTTTTTTAATTCACCAAGTTCCGAGTGAGAGCAGCTGATCGGAACCGGAAGTCTGGACCTTTAGGCCCGAACACAAAGTGAGCTGCAACACTTCGTCTGGCAGGCAACAGTGGTGCCCGTCCCCGCTGCTCATTGGCTCACCCAGCTGTCACTCAAGGGGTTCCACCGCTCAGCTTCCAAATATGGGCTCATTAGTCCCGCCCC